ATGAGCCAGCAGTGTGCCCTTGTGGCCAAGAAGGCCAGTGGTATCCTGGGGTGCATGAGGCAGAGTGTTGCCAGCGGGTCGAGGGAGGTGATCCTCCCCCTCTACTCAGCCCTGGGGAGGCCTCACCTCGAGTACTGTGTCCAGTTCTGGGCTCCCCAGTGCAAGAGAGACATGGCACCACTGCAGAGAGTCCAGCGGAAGGCTACAAAGATGATGAGGGGACTGGAGCATCTCTCCTATGAGGAAAGGCTGCGAGAGCTGGGCCTGTTGAGCCTGGAGAAGAGAAGACTGAGAGGCGAGCTCATCAATGTCTACAAGTATCTGAAGGGAGGGTGTCGAGAAGATGGGGCCAGACTCTTCTCCGTGGTGCCCAGCAACAGGACAAGAGGCAACGGGCAGAGACTTAACCACCGGAAGTTCCACCTGAACCTGAGAAAAAACTTCTTCACTGTGAGGGTGACAGAGCATTGCAACAGGTTGCCCAGAGAGGTAGTGGAGTCTCCTTCCCTGGAGATATTCAAAAGCCGTCTGGATGTGATCCTATGCAATGTGCTGTAGAGGTCCCTGCTCTTGCAGGGGGGTTGGACTAGATGATCTCCAGAGGTCCCTTCCAACCTCAACCATTCTGTGATTCTGTGATTCCAGAGTCACCTGTTGGCTGGGACACACATTAGGAAAATGAGGTTTTGGAAACACTCAAAAGAAGGGAACGGAACAGAGGTCTCCCATCTCCTCATCCACGTTGTTGGCTCCTTGTTGTTAAGCCAACAAGCTTAAGATCTCAGTTAATCTTCTAAATTGCAGAATAATTGCATTTTGGAAAGTACCTGAAACTGAAATACTCAGCACTTAAGAAACAAATAACTTAAAAACTGATTTAAAATTGATGTCTCATCAGACAGCCCAGGTTACCTCCTCTATCAATATACATTTGCTACCTACCACACATGTCGGTCTAGTTTCAAGATTCACCTTGCCTGGTGGAGATTGCTAACTCATCTAACAGATGTCCCAGGCATGAACATGGGGAGATATGGCTGGTAATGTTCAAGTGCTGGGCAGTCAACTGTTTAACTAGTTAACATTCAGTAACAGACAGACTGATTTCTGGAGCAATTCAAAAAAGCTAAGCTTTCACATGGATGTAATCATCAACTTACTTGTATAGGTTCCTAGTTTAGGATGAACAATATTCACGTTGGCATACTTCTCTGCTTCTTTAGCTGCTTTTGCTGACCAAGCTCCAGTAACCACATAATCTGCATGTCTTCCCTCCTTTAGGCCAATAAGATTAAGTGGGACTGCACTGAACTGACCAGATCCTCCTCCTTGGAGGAAAATAACTTTGTAGTTTTCTGGTATATTTCTGCATGCAAGAAATAAATATGTATTTTTATTCCCAAAAGAGAAAAGACGCATGGGGCTGAGCGTATAGTACTTGCTATTATTTGTTCAACTGCAACATTACAAAGGAAAAATAAATCCATTTTAGAAGAGGCTTTTCCCAAGAGGTTAAACCAAAGCTCATTAACTTACATCAGCACTGCTCTTTTTTTGTTATCAAGAGTCACACTATATATTTTATTGATAAAAACATGCTGGAAACAAGCAATAAACAAACTCACTCATGAGTAGCTCTTCTATCATAATATACGCAAAAAGATATTGCAATAGAATTAACGCTCAAATGCAGTTTTGTCTATTGTTAGCCTGATGGAAAACCAATGCAACTAAGAAATTCAGACCAAAGTGCTTACAGTGGAATTTAACTTTGAGAGGTCAAAACTTAAAAGTATGCAAGTATCTCTGTATACGTAACATGCATACCTAATTTACTAAGTCACAAAAACTACATGTTCAAACTACTGATGCCATCTTAAAGCCTTTCTGTCAACAACTCTGTCTTCCTGTAAAATCATGTCTTTATATGAAAGGATCATTAACTGCTGTAAGAGCTGTATAGTAATTCCAATATTCTGTAATTCCAAAACTTTAAAAATGGGCCACGCTACAAATAGGAAAAGGGTTCCTGATCAGTCACTCTAAAAAACATCCATATAAAGTTTACCTTAGCAAAACTGGATTGATGAATCCTTTACAGACTACCTTCACATGACCGCAGAGCCAAGTAACAAGGATATAGTTTTCAACCCTTACAACTTATTTCTTAAAAAAAAATTGTGGCATTTTATAATTTCTATGGACAGGATAAAAATTAGAATTTTGGAGGCAAGTCAATCTGTTAGCATATTAAAGTCATGTAAAAGTATCATAACCTAATAAAAGCCCTTTGTCATATTCAAATAAATCAGAATCAGACAAATGGGAGAACACGGTCTTCTCCAAGATTATTACTTTTTATTAGATATAGTATCTAAAAATAGGTGCTTTCACCTACTTGGAGTAAAGGTCTCCACACCAATCACTATTAGCAAAATTAGCACAAGTGTAAAACAAAAATAAGCGAGAAGCAATTCACTTACAGCAATTCCCGCAAGAGATTTTCAGCTGTATTTATAATTTTCGTGAAATCTGAGGTCCGATGGCTCATTTCTTGGGAGGCCCAAAATACCTGAAGGCTCCTGTTCCCAGCTCTGACTCCCATTTTGCTGAGCTTCCCTAAATACCCATTTAGGCCTTAAACCACTCATCTTGCCCAAATCCATGCAAATCCAGTCTGTTCACATTTTATACGCTCACCTCCTTCCTGTACCCGGAAACAACCTAGGGGTATGTCTGGATGAAGAAAGTACTCCTTAGCAAGGTATAAGTTTTCTTTACTCCAAGAGTGTTTTCTGCTACTACCATACTCCATAACTGCCATAGCAGTACAGGGAGTTTGTTTCATTCTGTTACTTTAACAAAGCTTCTTCATGCCAATTAGAAGCTAAGGCCACTTAGTATTAATTCCTTTAATCAAACCCATATTCTTTCTTCCATTGGTAAGAGTGTACAATTTATTTAAACATAAATCCCAATCCAGACTGCTGCACACATCTTACTTTAAAGAATGGAACAGTTTCATGGGAGCAGTAAAATGCTGAGCACTTTTGCGCATAAAATTTTTGCGCAACTGGGACTGAAGAGTGAGTCATTCATGCATGTGCTATAAAAGACACCTCTTAGGGTAGGTGATATTTCCTTCCTCATGGGAAGTATGCTATATTTCAGATGCATCCTTTCCTTTCTCAAATAAAAACACTTATTATCCAAAACTCAAATACATACACCCACACGCACATAAACAAGCAGGTATCCTCCTGAAGACCCAGAAATACTAATGCATTAGTTATGATTTCTTATCTTCTGCGTCTCTAGTCCTTTGTGCTGGCTCACTAAATGCCTGGTTATGTATCATTTAATGGTCTCTTACTCCGTAGTTAGCATAGGAAGAACTGCTGCTTGAAAGAGCATCCATCCTCTGGACATACATGCTAACATGCTACACCAAGGTTTTACAAAAGAAAGGGTAAGTATTCAGCTGAAATATGAAGGTCAAAAGCTCTTATTAAGCTAAACATCTACATTCTGAAAAACATGCAGAATTTTTTTTTAAAGTCTTACCAAGAACACTAATACCAAGTCCTTTGTAATCCATCAATTCTTTCTGCGCTTCCAGTAACACCTAATGAAAATAAAATCAATAAACAAAATAAGGAGATTTTCTATGACTGTGAGTCACTAAAGCATCATGCATCTGACAGCTGCTCCATACTGCAATAACCTGACACTTTTCAATTTAGATTGGTTACCAGACACACAGGCACCAATACAATTTTACCATATCTAGCAGCTGAAGGCTTGTCATAAGATGGCATAACTAAATCATATGCTATATGGGAGACTCTGTATTTCAAGTTATTATTTTCACGGTTACATTTCCAGATTATTTCAGAACGATTTTCAAGAATTGTTTGGAACTTTCCACCTTTTACAGAAGGCTTTATAAAGTTTGCACACACAATAACTTTTTCTGACCATGGATCTTTTTTTTTTTCCTATGTTCTTTTATTTGACTTGTAGAAACAGGATAACTGAAGTATTGAGGGAAACATCAAAAAGCAGCATGTGGAAATTGTGTGCCTTAAACTGACACAATACAATGAGCCCTGATTTCAGAGAGCGAGGTCCTGCACTTTCTAAATATGCACCTTCTTGATGTTATTGAAAGTTGGGGGGGTGGAAAAAAAACAAAATTTAAAGGCAACCAGAAAGTGCAGGTCACTCCAGAAAGCCCTAGCCAGCTGATCTGCTGCTTCAGCCTTTCATTGTTCTTTCTTCTTTCATTGCTGTCACACATCAACAAAGTGGAGTTAGACTCTAACCACTGGATTTGCTGCTTGTGATTTCTGTAAATTCCCGGGTTTGAGCCAGAATGTTCGTTGCCACTCCAAAACGGAACAGGAGGAGAGGGAGACACAGTAGAAAACTCTCCAGAACAAAGGTTGTATGCATGCATCCCAGGATGCGTCAGGAAAACACATGCTCTGGAAGACTGCAGGAGCAAGCAAACTGCTTTGCTGACTGCTCTGCACGACCTATCAACTGTAACAGCTGCTCACCAGAAGGCCTACCAGAAACAGCTGTGCTGCTTTTCATTTTAGAGATGGTGAAGTTTTAGCCAACATACTGCACATGCAAGCATATTCATGACAGAAGAGGAAAAAAAAACCAAAGGGAACACGAAGACCATTACAAAGAATTTGTTAAACTGCTTGATAAAATCCTGTTTTGCTAGTAGCATCCTTATCTGAGAATCTGTACAAAGAAGAAGAGTGATTGTTAAAAAAGTGTCTATTTCTCCTACACAAATACATGCAAACAACACTCTTATGACACGTCTCATAACAGACAGGAGGAGTTCTGTCCACCTCCTTGCTTCAGTGCATTGGAGCACTTCATGTACTGCATCAGCCTACAGTCAGACTAAGTGAAGCAGTCAAGGTGAAGACTATAGCATTTTCAAAAAACAGGAGAAAACAGACTAATGGCATGGAGTTTAGCTATGCTCTCCTCAGACATTAAAGGCAGCTCTCAGTTCTCTCTCTGCTGGAGTCAAATGCTGCAGCAGCTTAAGAGAGCTCCCTTCTCAGCCAAGGGTCTTGCAATACAGAAGAATAACGATTTGAGGAATATTCTATAAAAGAGTATTTCCAGAAAAAAAAATACTGAGAAGCTGTTCTACAGCAAATTTGTTATAGAAAAATGTGTTAAGGAAATAACACAAAATAATGAAAAAAACTATGATCCAAGATGTAAAGAACAAAAAATTCCCACAACACACAACTCTGAGTGCCAGATGCTTAAAATGCAGCACGAACCACCCTCTTTCCATATGCAATCGGATAATCTACAGTTGCTGATGCAACTTTCCAAAGGGTTGGGTCTATACTATACTTATTACCATTGTTTATATAGAGACTTCTCGCTTAAGTATCCTGATTTTTTTTTTTCTTTTCGGGTCAGCTTCATTTGACGCAGCTATTGTGCATTTGCGAAAACTTACTTTCCATCCCGAAACGGATACAGCCCCGACGAAGGAGCACTCTAGCAGAGTTAGCAAAAATTCTGCGGGTGCAATGTTAAAACCACATGGGGGTGGGGGAAATCTAAAAATAAATAAATAAGCAAAACACACCAAAACAAACCAACCAAAAAAAAAAACCACCACACAAATTCCTTGGTGTATTCAGTTTTGGGGAGAAGGGGGAAGAGCTTTTCTTCTGGCCGCCCGGTTGTCGCTTGTTTGGTTAAAGGGAGCTTCCCAGACCCTCGCTTGGCAGCGCGGAGACGGGCGCCAGCGCCCA